ATAAGTAATCAGTAAGTCAGGTCAAGACTCTCCAACCATCGGCGAATAAGGAGTGCCGAGATTACTCGAAGGAAGCTAGGGTTTACTTGCAGGGGTGCAATCCCCAATTTGTTAAAGACTAAGTGATAGAAATGATGAAGGGGGAATCTAAGAACGTTGAGATGTCCAACAGAGAGGAGCAACTCGTCTTCTCTGACACCCTTGCCGGCGCAAAAATCAGTGCCCTTGGGGTATTCTGCAATTTCTACCCCCTTGGGAATCTCGAACTCTTCCATTACGGATTCAATGGAAAACAGGATACGACGAATAGATAAAATTGCATTCCTTTCTTCCTTAGTGAAAATATTATCCGACCCAGAGGTGGATGTTTCAGCCTGGATTGGGGAAATATCCGGCTGATTAACTGAGTCATTTGCAGGCATAGGGAAGTTTGAAACCCTAGGAGGAGGAACCCTAATGAGATTAGGGGAAGACGAGGGCGTGGACTCAGAATCTACGATTTCTATACGCTCGGGAGTAGTCGAAGTACTCATAATGTAAGATTGGAAGAAGGGAAAGAAGAACTAACCTAGAGATATGAGAATATGACAGAACGAGCACACTGAGAACAAAAGCGAGTCTTGAAGAAGCCCTTGAATCAGAATAACAATAAACACAAATGGAAACGCCTCGTACGAGAATGACAGCTACACAACTTCAATTCCCCTTTAATTAGGAGCCGTAACCCAATTAAAGAGGAATTGGGGGCAAAGTGTGGAAGGAAAAATCTCCCTCCAATAAGAATGGAACGCATCACCATTATATAAATCTGCATTTGGGAGATTTCAGAAGCCCATCCGGATCAAGCCCAAATTACGTTGTGCTTTAACCCATTATCATTTATGCTGGGCCTCCAAGGTCAGGTAAGAGTATCGATCAGCCCAACATCACCGCGGTTGAAGTTTTGGCCCGTTAGTCAAGTCACTTACACCAAACCACATCCGGCCCAAGTATAATTAAATATGGCTCAGTCCTATTAAGCAAAGGAGTCAACCCAGAAGGAAAGTTTTTATACAAAGCAAGTTCTATATAGGAAATATTCCACAATAGAAAGAACTCTATTTGTAAAGAAATTTATGTATGGGAAGAATTGGAGGACAAGTAACGCGAGTCCTGTTGCTTGTCCTACCATAATTCTACCAACTTTTGTGTATAAATAGAGACCTAGACCTCCAATAAAGGGGCAAGCAATTCAATTATTCTCTAGATACTGTTCTTGTTTATTTTTATTATTTGTTGAGTGTGTTGTATTATTTTCTCTCAATCGTAATTGATTGAGCAGAATTTTGCACCTACACCCACATACTCGAATCCTTCACAAGAAAATAGTTAGGAAAAAATTCTATGGAGGTGTTATTTTGTCTACAAAACTGAGAAACAGAGATTAGATTTTTCTTGATTAAGGGTGCACACAAAATATTATTTAATGTAAAAGATTTGATAGGAGAATCAATAGTAGAATAACCAATATGTGAGATAGAAATTCCATTACCATTGCCGATTACAATATCCTCGTTCCCAACATAATCTGAGTGCATGGAGAGATTCTGAAGATCAGAAGTCATATGATGCGTAGCTCCCGAATCTAGAACCCAATTATTGTTGTAATTGCTTGACTCTCCATCGGCAAGGTTGGCCTAAGGTCGAGCAAAGTGAGATCAGGGTTGTCCCTGAGAGCAACATGTCTTGGCACTATGACCTGACTTGTCACACAATTGACAAACTAGGCGAGGTTGCCTCTGATTTTCCTGATTAAAACTCAGATTCCATGATGAAGAATAAGAATTAGAATTCAAGTTAAAGTTTGTACCTTGGTAGTTATAACCCTGCCCATGAGAAGGAGGTGGACGAGATTACAGGTGCTGGCTGTGAGATGGACCTTAGCTGTTAGCCGAGCCACGTGCCATGTTAGATCCGCCACGGTTTGAGCCGCGGCCACCCCTTCCTCGGTTATTGGACCACCATGGAGTGAGTTGAGCAGTAATTTGAGTGTCATCTTCATTAGGGTCACCATAATTTCTACGTATTTCTTCATCAAGGAGTTTGTCATAGAGTTCCTCAAAGGAGATAGGAGTGTCACGCATATAAGCAGCAGCCGTCAATTCTTTGAATTCATCTCCTAGCCCATTGAGAAAGTGACCCATGATTTGGCCATCGGACAAGGGGTGTCCTCTGATAGCAAAGTCTTCAACAAGAGTTTTGACTCTATTCAAATAAGCAGCAACTGTTTTTCCCTCTTGTTTGTGAGACATAAGAGAGGACAAAAGTGACTAACGTACATCCGAGTGTTGGAGTTAGCATAACTTGTCTCCAATTTCTTCCATGCTTCAGCTGACGTTGCACAATTGTTGATGCTTGGACCGATAACACTGTGAACAGTTGTTTGCATTCCTAGCAACACCAAACGGTCCTGACAATACCAGAAAGTATATCCCGGATCTGTTTGAGGTAGACAAGGCTAAGATCCGTCAACAAATCCAAAAAGACCATAGTCGAGAAGAAGATTGGTCATTTGGGATTTCCAGGATGAGTAGTTCCCTCCACCCTTAGCAAGCTTGAATGGAATTTGAGACGAAGCACTAAGGGATATCAGATTACCATTGGAGGGAATAAGAGTACCTTGAGCCAGAATGTTTGCTGGTGCAGAGATGACAGTTGGAGCCGAAACTTCTGTGGATGCCGGAGGTGTTCGATGTGGCTGTCTTGGAAGCATCGGTGTTGGTTCCGTCTGTCATGGTGACTGTGGCTGAGAGGATACGGCAAGGTAAGGTGATGGCTGAGTTTTGAAGTTTTGAGAGAGAAAAATTTTTCTTTCTGTTCGGGACATAATAGGCTCTGATACCATAAACAGTTTTGGTAAAAAATACGATTTCTCATTTACAGAATAGTGGAATATATACATAATATAATTGTCTAGTTTCCTCTATTAACAAACCTAAGTAGGAAACGAGATCAACATTAATCTATCTCTCACACTACTTACAACCCCGTAACATTCTTCCTTGGAGTTCATGAATACCATTACAATCGCAAAGCTTCTAACGTTGCCAAAATAGTACTCTGGCAATGGAGGGGTCCATCGTCGTACCGTCGTACGTAGGTTCACCGGGTGGAGCACGGTGTTGAGCTTCTTAGGTTCTTCTTTGCTTTGTGTGGCGACCACAAAACGGCTCCATATGAAGGTTGACAAGGCCTCAATACGAGTAGGGCGTCTAGAGTTTTCTACACTTGTGTTGTTAAGACAAAGTATAGAGTATAGATAGACTAGTAGACTAGTAGTAGTATGTGTAATGTGTGTTAATTGGCCCTAGCTCCTTGTATGTGCATGGAAAATGAAGTGCCTATTGCTATCTTATTGACTTTGTATTATTATACAAGCAAGTTGGTGATTAAAAATTTTATTTTTTGTGAGTGAGTTGGTGGTGATTAGGATTTGTATTGCACTAGAGAATTTTCTCAATGAATGTGAAACTAGGTGTATGATTTCTAATATAGGCCACGCGGTTTTATATGCGTATATATAAAGAAATTTTTTACCTCAAATGGCAAGTGGGTTTGATCGATCACCTTTTAACTCTGTTTTGAGGGTTAAGAATTCCATAAAATGTCTAATATGGAATTCGGAACCTCTTAACTCTGTTTTGAGAGAGGAGAAGTTATATCAGTTCGACGGACTAACAACCAATGACGAGTTTTGCATGATGGTTCGATTGATATTCTGTTTAAGCTAAAGATTTATAAAAAAAGGTTTTATTTATTAACCTAGTACATGTACACCAACTGGTATGCATGCAATACAGATAACAACATACAACATACATATTGAAAATTTAAAAAATAAAAAATAAAAAATGAAGAAGATCGATAAAGAAGAACTAACACATAGTATGATTTTGGCTTCACAAAAGCAAAGTCACATGAGGTGAGCCTGGGCCATGTGGTGGTGGTGGTGGTGCATGTGAACTGCATGGTTGTGGTGGTGGTGGTGGTGGTGAGCGGCGTGCATATGTGCTGCATGGTGTCGACCGATATCGGTAAGCACTCAACATTCTAGCCATCTTGCTCAATTTTGTGAATTATAAACAGCAACAATGTTATATGTATACAGATATGTGTGTGTGTGTGTGTGTGTGTGTGGATTTTCCATAACCCCTATTGTTAAATTTGGTGCTCAATTTTGTGCATGGGCATGCCTTGGGATCAATTGTGATTTGTCATTAATTTCTTGTTTACTAGTTGCTCATTTTTGCCAAAACCCTCTAAGCCCAAACTTAGCCAGACGAAGCCCAGTAATGTGAGGTCAAGTTGGGCTTAAAAAATAAAAACAAAGCCCATTGCTTTGGGCTTCACAAATACTCATAGTTTTAAAAACACGGCATCCACGCTTACTACAATTTTTCTGTACAAGTGATGTGAAACGTCACACTTAATTGGGGATGCACAAAAAATTATTGGAACCGTACCGGTTTAGTTCTTCTAGGGTTCAATTTCAAGCCTCAACAGTTCCTATTCCGGTTCCAATTTTTTAGGAAAGGTTGGAATCAGCTCAATTCCGATTTAGCCAAGAACCATACCGAACCAAACCGGATCTATCTTCACCTATAAAAATGGCAAATGCATAATGATCGGCCTTCCACTCATATTATTCATGGCCTGAGCAACAGCCCTCCAATTGATGAGAGCTTCTAAAATACAATGAAAAACCATATGTGCTAATTGACACCTACATTCATTATTGTATTTGATCAACCCGCACAAGGCATGCCCATACATGCTATAGTCCCACACCAAACAATCCATTCCACATTTGCACAGAACGAGACATCCTCTCAACACCACAAGACAGCAGTAACATGTCAACAATGGCAGTAGCCCACATATGAAAAGAGAAGGCATATAAACTGTAAAAAAAAAACACACACACACACACAGAGTCACAGACAGCAGTAACAACAGCAGTATCATGGAAAAAACCATATAATTGTATTACACTTGGAATAACCGTCTTAGAAACAATAGCAGCAAGTGCCCTGAAAGTGCATTACAATGAGTCTTAAGAACAATAAACAATGAGTCTTAAGAACAATAAATAGAACAAGTTCCTTGCCTTGAGACAGACTAAAAAGATGAAACGAAAAATTCGAATTTACAAGGTTTCAAGATTGAACAATAGTTTGATACAGATGTTCCCGTGACAGTGTCTAGACCCATTCCTCATAGCAAAATCATGAGAAAAATAAAGAGAAGGTACAAAACATTGTTTCATTCTAATAGCCAAAATTTGAAGAGAGAACTAAATCAATCAACACCAAACTGAATTTCACCATCTCTCCCTTGACCTTGACCTGCCAAATAACAACATCAAAAACATTATTAGTATTTGCAACATTTAGATTGCGTTGCACATGAAAATGTAAGCATATGCACATCTCTCAATATATTATTACCATTAATAGTATTATTGTTATATGCAGGAGGGATACACATGAAAGATGTCTGAATGGTTTATTCTTTAAGACAGAATTCAACTAGAGTACCAGGGAAGTTTATATTCCCATTCTAATCATAAGTTCCCAGGACCATCACCTTTAGAGAGAATTCTGGAATAAATTTCTCAACACTTAGGTACTAAAACAAAACTAAAATGTGAGTTGGCTTTAAAAACAAAGCTACCACAGAGCCCCGCTATGAGTTATTTTCACATCCGCCTGCATTAAATATTTATATAAATATATATATATATATATATATAAACAAGTATATAAAATGAGTTGATTAAATATAATCTAGAGGGATCAAACTATATATTGCTTTCAAACGTGACATATAGCGGGTTGGTTGACCAAATGGGAGCTTAGAGAGCCACCTTTTCAGAAGTAAGAAATTGTACTTACTACATAATTAACATTTAAATACAGATTTATTTATTTTTTAAAATAAACAGATTAATTGTAATTTCAAATAAATAAATAAATTACATAAAATTGGAAGCTAGCGCTAATTAATTGTTATTAATTTGATTTTGCATGAATGTATGCAAAGGGTGCAGAGCCTCTTTCATGGGAAACAAGGCTTAAGATAGCCATAGGAGCAGCTCGAGGATTTGATTTTTTGCACACAACAGAGAAGTGTGTCATATACCGGGACTTTAAGGCCTCTAACATATTGCTGATGGGGTAAATTAACTTCACCTGCTGATGGTATGCACTGCAACACAATGATAAGCAAATTGTAGCATTATCAAAATACTAATACTTCCTTCTGTGAATTATAATCCACATGAAAGTGTAATCTGTTTTATATCCTTTTAAGATCTAGATCCAGCCAAAATTTGACATATAAGACCTTAGGCATCTCGTGTTTCACATTGGAAAAGACATCTCAACTTATAGAATCCTGATCCTTCAAATGCAAGCTCAGGCTTTCAGCAATAACCATTAAAGAAAGCATAAGAATGGGTTGTTTCTATAAAACCCAAACAGAATCTAGAAAATCAGCTTATGTCTTCCAGATATTTTGTGACTACTCAGCATCACATTTGAATCTTATTCACAATATTTTGCAAGTTAGTGGTCAACCTAAGATACCTATGGTGTTAAAATCAAAGTTTCAGATTCAAAATGTAAGTTATAAATCACATTTGTGGTTGGAACAAGCCAACTGCTCACCAAAGCAACAAAAGAAATAATAGCATAGACAAAAGAGTGTGATCTGTCCCATTCCATACCTGTCTATGTCCCTGTTACCCAGAAATCCTCTTTCCCTTCCACCCTGGAAAGACATTCTGTCATTGCCATGCATTGTCCACGCATCTCCTGTGCCACGTGATCTAGGCCTCCCCATGAACTCTCTACTTCTGGACTCTTCATATCTCCCAGACTGGGAAGGGGGTCTCTCAGGAAAGGCGGCAACTCTGCCTGCTCCAGAACCTGGTCTTTCAGTGGCTTTCGGACCAAAGCGGACTTTGTCATCAAGTTCGTGGATCAGCAATTCCAACTCCCTTTCTTTACGAAGAATTACATCATGTACACTGGTTTGCTCTTCCCCAGACCCTTGCAGAGATTCTGTTTTAGATTCTTTCTTGAGTTCCATTTTTAAATGGTGTATTTCTTCTCTCAAATTCTTTTCTGCCTGTGTCTCTGGCCTGAAATATTGTTTTCCGCTTCAGAAACCAACAAAAACATCCATAATCTAGTTTACACAATAAGTTTCAACTACACATGGATGACATTAAGCAAACAAAGATTGGTAAACAAATAGACAGTCATAGTGTGTGCACAGACAAGCATGGAAAAAGTACAAAACTGCCGAAGGCTTCTCATAATCAACTAATGGAACAAGCCATCAAAAGAAGCCCCACTAATAGAAACCCCAAAGAAAATTAGCAGTCATAGAATCATATAAGAATATGTTCATTGAAAATTTCATGGACATGTTTACCATAGGTTGAGCTAATAGCACCAGGAAAAACTAAAGGCAGTATTTCTATGCTACAGATATTTGTTTTGCACTTGAGTAAGTTGATAATGATTCCTCGAGTACTTTGTAAAATTGAATATAATCACAGATCCTTATATTTATTATATACATGCATGCCTAAACATATAACTTTAACAAAAACAACAATATCGACTGTTCCTGCTGCTTTTAAATATATTAAAAGAATGTACCTATCAAATATATATATATATATATTAAAAGAATGCACCAAAGGGAAATTAACGACGTAGTGTTGTATATATGAGCAAAAAGAAACTCCTTACATCTAAAATATCTACAAAAGAGTACGACTCTGGAAAAGAAGCTCCCTCTGCAGTTTGCTTCTACTTAATGCAAGCAAGCCTTTTGTTCCAATCAAACTACAGCACTTCAATGGCCAAAGACATTTAACCATCTCTCTCTCTCTCTCTCTCTCTCTCAAGCAAAAACTTTTACCATTTCTCTCTCTCTCAGGCAAAAACTTTTACCATTCTTCAGAAGAAAAAATAGTGTCAAAAGGTGTGAAAGATGGTAATTTGATTGAAGATATTGCCCAAGACTTCCTCACCTCATCTTCCTTCATCATCCATTGGTAGCAGACTTCATAGCATCAATAATACAAGGTCAATCTCCCAATACTACAACATTAAAATAGAATTGACTGTACTCCAATAGTTGCAGCACAAAATATTTCCTAAACTAGACCAGAAGAAGCTACCATTGAGGAGCAAAGAAACCATTCAAAAAGACATCTTCCAGAAGAGAGCTATGTGAACCATTATCCAACATCTATTTAAGGGTAGTAGTTAAAGAAGTGTTCAGAAGTTCTCCACAAATTAGTTTCAATATTAATTAATGACTTATGTAGTTCTTTCCACACAAAGAGAAAAGACCTAAATGGTTATTGGTAGTGGAATGGGTGTGGTCCATTTTTCTTCATACAATAGTTGCACATGTCGAACTGAACCTTTCTTACATTCCTTAAGTAGACTCGAGTTATGGTTCATGTTGCTCTACGGGTAGTGCATTTGGGGTATTGTTACAGTTACTCCTATATAGTGCCCTTTTCCTGATCAAGCAGGAGAGAAATATAAGCTGCAGCATCAAATTATATTTTACAGGTATTGAGAGTTTTGTTAAGAAGTGAAAATTAGCTGTAAATGGGTGACGAAAAAATAGGTCAAGTCCTGGGCAGAACTTAGAATCCAACTACCCTAAACACTGCTTCATCTTCATGTCACAAATTCTCCTATACATCGATGCTGAGGGTGGGTTGATTGCAATTGGGTAGTAGCAGTAACCTATAGTTCCACTACTATATCATGAGAAGCACCCAAGTAAGAGCAAACTATCCCATTCCACAAGACAAATAAGTGTAAAGCACTTACAAATATCACATTTTTATTGTCGAAAAAGTATATTTTAAATCTTGGAAAGTTCTCTAGGATTGGTTCTGTATGTAGATACTTTAAAATCATATTCCTCTTTCATTAGGGCAAAAAAAAAAAATAAAAGAGGACCTGATGTATCATTGTGGCTACCAGTTATTGCAAATGGCTGATGTCTCTACTCTTCGTTGATGCAAGAATTACTGAGGATGACGACTATGTATTGAAAACCAATTCCTGAAGAACTTTTCAAGACTTACCTTATTACAATCTTTACAATAGACTTGGAATATTTTTTACTTGAGCCCTCCAATGAGCAATGTCTTCATGAATGGTTCAGATTGCTCATACATAGTGCTTCTCTTGATCCGACAAAAGGCAAAATTTGTGCTGCAGCAGCAACCTGAGTTTAAGCACTCCCATTTTAGGGTAGTGGTAGATTGTCTTTATGTATACTGTCCATGCAATGAAAAATTAGTTAAAACATATGATGAAAGAGGTCAAGAAGCGTTGGGCTAAATTCAAAATCTTATCAGCATACTTCACTCCCTAGCCTTTTTCCTGGTAACATTGCTTATTTGGAAATTAAAAAAAGGTGAAGTTGTGAGAGTAAAGAGAATAGAATTGATCCAATAAAATTTGTAGATAAAACAATAACATTTTAGTGACCACGATGTTACAAATTGAGAGGGCATGCTTGGTGCAACGGAAAGGTTGCTCCATTGTGACCTGAAAATCAGGCGGTCAAAACGGAAAACAACCTCTCCATATGCGAAGGTAAGGCTTAGACCCCACAATGGCAGAAGTCTTGTGCACTGGACTAGCCGTTTGGATGTTACAAATTGTTGGTGACCTATGTGGGGACCATGTTTCACCTTATCTTATTAACAACATAATTTTGGATCAGGATCAAAATACAAGATGACGGAAGAAGAATAGATGGGTTTCTAGCGTCACCTACAAATTCGTCTTTGTAGAGAGATATGTTGCATAGACTCTTCAAAAATAGGTGAAGTACACAGGCACACAATACTCATAAATGAGCATAGGATATGTGTCATGCACTTTTGATTAGGCATGCACCTAAAATCATACCTAATTATTCAATTTTATCATATTTATTGCTTTGAGAGAGTCAAATGACTCAAATGTCAATATTAAACCCAATGTAACATAAAAAAAATTCTTTAGCTCTAAAAAGTAAGATAAAAATATTAGATAATATGAATATTGGACTCTTAATGAAAGGCTTTGTCCAAATCGATGGTGAACAAAGGCATCAAAAGTGTGCCAAAGATTGCATGAGTTCTTTGGCCTTCATTTTTCTACAATTCGGGTGTGTGAAATGGATTTTTTAGAGACACACATGTATTATCATCTTTTCATTCATCAAAGTCTTTTAGTAGCCACAGGTTCCCTAGGGCATTTACATTCTAATATCAATCAGTAACTCATCCTTCAAAATATACGTAGTATATTCAACACAAAAGTTAAAACGCAAACACACACATACAAGCACATTGTAGTAAACGCTAAAGCATTTTCAAAGTGCTGAAAGGCAATAGAAACACCATGTAAAGATCACAGGATAAGTAGCCCTAATGAAATATTTTCAAAGAGCTGAAAGGCAATACAAAGCTAATGTAAAGATCACAGAGAAAGTAGCTTTAATTAAAAAAAATTTGGGTACAATATCTGCATGCACCAAAACAGAATACTGATAATAAATCTGCACAAGTAATCGACAAGTAACCGAGGAAAGGATAGTAATAGAAAACTACAAACCTATCAACACTGCGATGCTCCAATTCCAAATCAATCTTTCTCCAATCCATTCCTTTCTGTTGAAGCAAAACTTCCCTGGGCTTAGCATCACCAAAAGGGTTCACCTTTGGCCTTGGTTTCACTGACTGTTCTATCCCCTGCAATGCTGGACCCTCTGACCGACTTGACTGCACACTTGAAGGCCTGCTAGACTGGGAACTCGTAGGTCTGCTGGTTTTCTTCGCCTCAATTGCCAAGTCAAGCTTTTTCCAGTCCAAACCCTTCTCGGCCAAAATTTCCTCCCTCGGCCGCGCTAACCCAAATGGGTTCGACTTATTCGTTCTTACCACCGGCTCAACTATAGCTCCCTCACCCCGTGGCGGATCCAAAACCAAACGGCGGCGCTCCCGCTCCCCATCCTCCTCGCGCAATCCTCCCCTGGTCCAACGATTTGGTTCTGGACCAGAATTACGAAAACCCGAACCAAAAGTTGAAGATCTTGCAGGCATTGGCTTCTTCACAGATGCCCAATTATCAACTTCGTCAGCCCTAGACATGCCTCTTACCTCAACACCACCACCACCAAGCGACCCGTACCGATTAGAGCGGCCGGAATCGAAGGACGGTAGAGATTTCTTCCCCGATGCCCAATTATCGACCTCATCAGCTCTCGAGGGTTGATCAAAATCCGAAACCCTAGAAGGCGGACCCCTACGATCGTCATCGAATCCACCACCGTAAGATCTCCGATTACTTCCCCAAGTATTATCACCATCTCCGTCTCGATCCCGCATACGACCCGGTCCTCCACCGGACCGGCCGTAAGACGAGAAACCCCCGCCGAGCCGGCCGGACTGCATTTCCTCCGCAGACCGCTCCTTCGGCCCGGTCGGAAGCCTGAGCATCTCGTCCGGCGTCAAACCTTTGTAATCAAACGCCGGTTCTGGGCGCTGCATCGTGAACTCCTGCAAGCTCATCTTCTTCTTCTTCGGCTTGGTGCTCACCGCATCCCTCAGACTCGGAAAGCTCTTCGAATCCCCGCCACCCGCCGCCGCAGAAGCAGCCGCCGCCGCCGCCGCCGCCTTCTCCGCTTGCTCCCGCTCTTCCTCCTCCGCTTGCTCCGCCTCGGCCGCCCAAGCGCCGACTTTTGCCCAAGGCTTCGACATTCTTTGATTCTTGTAACCCTAAGATCAACGAAAATGAAACGATTGCAGATATAATATATATATATATATATATATGAATAGAACCAAGGCTCCGTCAATGGAGCCTGAGCTCCGACAACATGAGAAGCTTACTGTGTGTAGTGTGTGGGGTTTTCAGGCGAAATGAACTATTACTCTCTCTCTCTATAAACGCGACTTTTTGAGTTTTGGGAAAGATATAGAGAGCAGGGAATGGTACGCGCGGAGGAGGAGAGTGCGCGACACGTGCCATGTTGAGGGTGTGGTACTGTGAAAAGTGGTGGGGTGGGTGACCCTCATGACGTGGCATTCTATGGTTGAGTGTGAATGTGATTGGAGGGTGAGGAAAGTTGGCGCCGAAATATCATGGGGCTTGACAAGACAATTATCTATTAAGGAGTGTTTGGATGCAGGTTTAGACCATCACCAGCCAAGAGTTGAATATCAGATTCGGATCATGGATAGGCCAGCTACAAAATAACGGAGAACCATACCAGCTTCGCTTTGTACACATTTCCCAACTTTTGAATACTTTTTAGGGAAAATTACATATAAATGGAGTCAAAGTTTCATATTTACTTAGAGACTGAGTCAAAGTTCCATATTTCTCTAAAATGAATTGCTGAGGTGGCACATGGTTTTTTACTATTTAAAAAATTGTGGTGTCTAAAATGTCCTTCCCTAATAAAAAAATAGTACCTTCAGTTCAAAAAAGTAGTACCTTCAATTCAAAAAAGTAGTACCTTCGGAGAAAAAATAGTACCTTCGCGAGTGTTTAAAAAACATGGTACCTGGACGCCAAAAAGTAGTACCTTCAGTTCAAAAAAGTAGTACCTTCGAAGAAAAAGTAGTACCTTCGCGGAAGGGTATTTTAGGCATCACAATTTCTAAACAGTAAAAAACCATGTGCCACCTCAGCAATCCATTTTAGAGAAATATAGAACTTTGACTCAGCCTCTAAGTAAATATGAAACTTTAACTCCATTTATATGTAATTTTCCCTACTTTTTAACTCTTTGTATTTCTATAATTCATTGATATATTTGAATATCTTTTCACTTTGAAGATTGATTGTATTTCAAAGATAAAAGTAATAATTTAATATATTTTATCATCTATTTGTAATTGGATGAATTATTTTATAAATTTTTACTATTAACTTTAATAAGAATTTATTAAGAATGCAAGAATTTCACTCACAATTTAATTTTTGTTTGATACCAAGAATGAAAAAATGAAAAAAGAAAAGAAAAGTATGAATACTAGATAATAAATCCTTATAGAAGGAAATAAAATGGGTCATGTGTTGGTTTCTTTTGTTTCGTGATACGAAATAATATAAATGGTGGTGACATGGTAAGGGAAAAGAAATAAGGGTTTTCACTTCTTTTCTTGTTTTTTTTTTTTTTTTTTGTCACTATAAATTATATTTTACAAAAATTAATGATGAGTAATAATTTCACTCTTTACATAATATATTTTGTAAGGTTTCTTTCGTAACAAAATAATAATTAGTAAAAAATGGGAGATATCACACAAAATGAGTAAGAGGTCCAGAATGATAACCAGGAAGAAAAAGGAGAAACAAACAAGGGGGAATGAAGACATGAATGTTTGAATGAACTCGAGAGTTATGGTGTATTCTGGCCACTTATGTTTTGACCTTAATGCTTAAAAGGCATCAATATTTATGGCTTTTGGACTCTTGGTTAATACTTGATAGGTCAAAACCACATTGAGTATTACCCAATTTCTAAATATCGGGATCATTATTGATTCAGCCATTCTCGCACAAGATTGCCTAATCACATCTCCTTTTTTTCATTGAGGTTAGCAATAGCACATTGAATGATTGTGATTCCAGTGGATCATTATTAAATGGGTAAAGTGCATATAACCCTCTTAAACTTTACTCTCTCTCCATAAAAAACCCCCCTGAATTTTTATTGTGAAAAAAAACACACTAAACTTTTCCAATTTTTGAACCCCTAAAAACACTGTTCCGTTTGGTTTTATCCGTGAAAGAGGCACGTGAGCTCTGCTGTTAATTCAAAATAGCAATTCCACCCCTTGTTACCATTAAAGAGAATGGGTAATGCTACACTGCCTGATTAATTTTTTTCTCGACACTACCGACTCCTACGTGGCTGTCCACGTGCCATCCTAACCTCTCACCATCTCAATCTCATTATCTCTCCATAAGGATTTAGAAATGACGCGACGTCTCCCAAGCAGTAACTGAACGAAGAAGAGCGGACTGAACCAGCTAGAGTGTTGGCGACGGAAGAGTGTAAAAAGGAGCGCCGACGAAACAAATCTTTAATGGGCTTTCAACTTCTCGCTTGCACTGGGTTTCGGCGATGTGAAGGGAGCTCGGATCTCTCTATCCATAAGGATTTGGAAACAGTACAATGTTTCCGGAGCAGCATCTGAAACAGCGATGAGCAGACCAACGAGAGCGTCGGTGGCAAAACGGTGTAGAAACAATCCTCGACCCGCGGCAAGGCGCATGAGAGCGTGATATTGAACAAGTTTAAAGCCGGTGAAGTCTTCGGCGTCAGCATGAATTGTAGATTGATTATAAGTGGGACGCAGAGAGAACTCTACGACGGATAGGACATCAGTGCGAAACCGACAACCAAGGACTATGTTTGGACTTTGCTCGGCATGAATGAACAAACCCAAGGTGAGCACTGAAGTTTTCGCGAATGAAAACAATGGTTATTTCCATTAATGCTTAGGTGAAATTAGGCATGTTTGGCGCTAAAATCAGGCATGTTTAGCGCTAAATTATGTAAATTGTAAGGCTTTGTTTGGTCAACTAATAAAGTGATAAGGTATATGTTGAGATAAGGTGTTGTGTTGTCATGATTTTATTGGTTGTTCAGACACATCAGCAATATAAGCCAATTAAACACCAAAACAGTGTCGTTTTATTAAATGGAAAGCTAGTAATCTAATGTTTCTGATCAGCTCCGGTGCCAGCCATATTTAATTTGTCCTTAATTTGTAGATTTTAAATAGTTCAGAGGGTATACTTAGTTTAGGGAGTTTTATACTTTTAGCTAAAAGTTCAAGGGGGTTATATGCACTTTACCCTTATTAAATATATTCGGCATGTTGCTAACTTTCTTTGTCGTGGCAGTTGATCACCAGTTCCTTTGGTCAGATTTAGCCTTTGATTGCTTTAAACGAACTTAAACTTCTTATCTGACCATTCTAAAATCCTTCAAGGTATTCCAATGATTATACATATTGTGGTATTACTATTGCATAAAATATTTTCAAATTATTTAATTGATTTGTGACATGTTATCGATAAAATAATATCTTATATGATTTGTGACACACTATTGGTGAAATAATATCTTATTTAATTTGTGACACTAAGTTAATGAAATAATGTGGTATTATGTGATACCCCTCGGATCCGAGACACGGGTTGATCAGGCCCAGGCCCAAACCCGAGGGAATATCAAACAATTAATATTTTATAACGAACACGGAATATAAAATGAATTAAGAAATGAAAGTTGAAAGCTGAAAAGAGAACTAAAAGATAATCCTTAAATAATTAAATACTTAAATCTGATAAACCAAATATCCATAATTTGAACAACTCGGGAATCCATCTCTAGTGGACCCCTAATAAAAATCTCATACTGAATGAAAGTAAAATGAAAGATAAAATCCAAATCCAAGATCTGGAAAGAAACCCTACATCGTCGGTAGAATAGAAGATCGTCTCTGCTCAGCACGAACAAGCTCAAGCCTGGAACTGACGTACACCTGAAAAATAGGAGTGGGTCAGGCCCACGAACAAGTTCTAACCTACTACAATCCAAGCAGAGGCTCGATACGCATGTACATACTAAATAGTTCAACAATAACTAATAATCCGTACATAAATATATCCACACTACTGGACTCTCGCTAGGCCATGAAGGGGGTCTCAACCTGAATAGAAGGCATCACACAATACGCACCTGAGTGGGCATGAGTACCTAAACCTAAATAGGGTATACCTCAACCTTCACAGTCAGCTACACATCCAACTGCATATACGCACCCTAACCGTCGACACTGAGACTCAAGCTCATGACACGGTAACATAAAAATATATCTAAACTCCGTTTCTATCCATCCACAAGAAATCCAGTAAGTCACTCGGCGTATTCAACCGTACCGACTTATATATATAAGGAGGATTGTATTTTATAACCCGTGCCCTTACTCCAAAATAGGTAGAACTTAGCAATTTGAGCTAATCCAAACCTAGTATGTCACCGTCCCATACCGGTACATACAATCCAATCCGTCCAATAGTTGATAAAGCATCGATAATAATAACAACAATATCAACAATTCCATACTAAACATAATAGAATGCATTAGCAACCATTCCTTAAAAATACCAATAATTGATTCACATTGAAAATATAAATATCAATGTCAACTACTCCTTACTATGCATATTGAAATAGATAATCAACATGCTTATTTACATTCACAGTTGATAAAATAATGACCATATAAATGTCAATACCAACAGTTCCAAACTAAACATGTTAGAACAGATTAACAAACATGCTTAAGTAAGCCAATTCAGAATCTATAATTTGATCATACAGGGCTTTATTTGTAATTATGACCTATTCCCAGTTTCCATAGAATTAACAGAGCCTAAATAGATATTTTCCCACTCAAATCTATAATATGCAAAATAAATATAAGTAATCTATTATACTTATAGTTTCCTGTCCAACAACTTGACGCACTAACCGTTAAATTTAATCATCAACTAATTGTCAGTGAAATATAAATTTTTAGCATAATTTCTATCTCCCTGAACATATAATTCGAGTGGACAAGCTCTCACAGAAAATTTCTAATATAATTAAGAAATTAGAAACTCCAAATCCACACAGTCTACAAGACATTCGTAATTAACTCTATGTAATCCTAATGATTAATGTTTTGTGTCCAATTCTATGTTAATCTGGTCTTTGCATATTTATGTTTACCCTAGACCACTTTTAAACCATCCATTACAGTATTCATTCTCCACTAAAACATAATAAAACAACCACTAGGAAGCCTAATCACTGAAAAGTGGAAAAACAACCAACAGAACCAAAAACCCACGAACAAACAACCTAGAGCCGGCTCCAGAATATTGGAGCCGCCTC